AAATGATGCTGGGTAATTATGGTAATTATCGTTTGGTAACTCTTCATTTGATAGCTCTCATTTGAAAGCGCCATTATCATAGCGGTGATACAGGAAAGACATCTTGACGAGTGGACAGCGCTTTGCCAACTCTGGGATGTTCGAGATGACGATGTGTTTGAAGTACACCATCGTCTTAGACTGCCGTACCCATTCTTATTGACAACTCAAAGGAAGAGAAAATCCGAGAAGAGACAAATCAAAAAAGAGACAGGTCATCAATATAAGCATAGATCGTCATCATCATTATTGGGCCGATGCACGATGGGTGGTCATACAAAAGATGTCACTATCCAGCAACGGCGGTACAAAAAGTTGGTACAGGAGTTGACTTTGATGACGTTCTAGAAACCCTCGCAACAGCTATCACAAGAAGTGCCGCACACGAATAAGCTCCTCCAACATTCAGCGTGGTCGAACATATTACCAACCCTCCTGCACCAAACGCAGTTGGCGCAGTCTCGCTCTGCAGGATTCACGGGCTCGATGATGACTCCGTCATCGGTCGTATCAACCGTCGTTGGAGTAGGGGTCGTAGGAGGGTTAATCACAGGAGCGGCAAAGGTGACACCAATGACGAACAGGATCTTCGCAAAAGAGAAGGCATTCATGCTTACAATGAGTTTGAATGGAGTTGTCGGTGTAAATCGGCGGTCCATCACCGCGAAGCTATCCAAAAATCGATCATGGCGCCAGCCGCCACACCTCTCACCAATCCGCTGTCTACTGGTCAAGACTCGTTTTTTCACTTCGAGTGACATCTGTTCGTCACCGGACAGTAGGTTGGGAGTCTGGGAGAGGACCAAACACTGTGAACCCGAAGCCCGAATCCTCTCTGGTTCTTACCTTGGGCCATAGGTTCACAAATCATGTTTGGTCACACTTACTATGTCACGGAATCTGTCCCATGTTTCCTGACATATGTTAGTGTCCCCCGACCAATTTGGCACAAGACTTGAAAAAATGAAACTGAAAAGAACTACACATGACGACACATGGCCAAAATCCAAGGGACAGTACCGAATTCATGGCGCTGTCTACCAAGATAGACCTGCTACCAGAAAAAAACGAAAGAACATCATACGAATACTGATGAAACCCTTAACGAAGATACATTTACTATGGTGGTCCATTATTAATGGGCAATATGAGAAGTTTCCAATCATTGTAGACTAACTAGTATACTTTGACAATCTGAGAATAGCTTATTCTTCCGGTCCGCAACTATGAACGCTATGAGATTTATAAAACTCATCACCAGTGAATACATATAACATT